AGAGGAAAGAGCCAGGAGGAGGTGTGCTGTGTTATGTTCTCTGGGCTCTCCCTCCTGTCATAACAGCACTTGTCCATGCAGCACAGGATGAGATAGATCATATGGGACTGTACACACACACACACACACACTATGATTACCACCCCTCACCTCCTCCAAGGGCTGCTCATCTCCAGGCAGCAGGAAATGTGGGTAGTGGGCGGTAATCATAGTGTGTGTGTGTGTGTGTACAGTCCCATACGATCTTTCCGTGATCCTGTCTCATGTGCTGCATGGACGAGTGCTGTTCTGACAGGAGGGAGAGCCCAGAGAGCACAACACAGTGCATCTTCCCCTGGCTCTTTCCTTTCTGCCACTTCTCCTCTCCCTGCTCCAGGCTTTCCCCTGGTCCCAGCTCTGAGTGCGGGAGGGGGAAGGAGCTCAGTGGTGAGTGGCCACTCAGGAACACCAGGGCACCCCCTCCATCCAGCTAGGTCTGTCTCTCCCTCCAGCAGCAGAAAGCCGGTGGGAGAGAGGGGAGATACCGTCTTTCAGCTGCTGGAGAGAGAGATACACAGTGCATAGTTCTGCAACTGCCCTCCCCCACCACTCGTTCCTGCTGTCCGGGCCCCCTACAGGACTGCCAGTGGTACCCCTCTGATGGTGGCCCTGCATGGTTCAGTTCACAGCTGCTCACCAGGTCCTTTCTTCCAGGGGGCAGTGCCACCCCCCTAAATATTGCCGCCCAAGAAAAACGCCTGGGTTTGCCTCATGGCTGGGTGAGACAGTGTGTTACTGGATTTTAAACCATATAAGCACTTATTTTTAATGTTTTAGATAACTATACCAGCAAAAGGGACCAGCAAGAAGTATTTTAGCAAGACTCAATTTTCTAACAAAAGTTCCACTTTAGGGGGATAAAAAAATGCATGGACAAAGCATAAAGATTGTCAGCATTTACATTATGCAATGATAAACGAAAATGTAATAATAGATTTGTTTATTTTTAAATGCTCCTTTGCTCAAAAACAAATCAATTAAGCAAGGGAAGTTAACGGAGTTGTTGACCAAATGAAATAATTTGACTATACTCCTAAACATAGTCTCAAAATTCTATATGCTTTTTGAGGATGGTGACTGTTGGTGGAAATTTGAATTTCCACCACGACCAATCACTGATTTTATTGAACATGACATTTTATAGATCACATGGTCCATTTAGAGCAGCACATTCCAGACCTCATTCTTTTATCAATACAATCAGATATCAGTCTTTTAAGATAATTAAGAAGATAAAAGTTGATCGGGTGTTTTCATGAACTATAATTCTCACATATTCTTAGCTCTAAGGTTTTTGATACATACAGATTCCATTAGAGCTGGAATAGGACTCACCTGACTTCCGCTTGTCGGTTTTTGTTGGCACTATGTAAGGTAATCCTGGCTTCATGTCCATGTATTCACTTATCCCATCACTGTAAAACAAGAGGGAGAATTGGATTGAAAACATTGTCCTTGTTTACAACTCCACTAATGAATATTCTAAGAACAATGACAAGGATATGTGCTGTTTGATTTGGCAGAAGAACAAGCATAACAAAAGCCTTACATCCATATTCTTCAGCTCCAGCAGCACAGGATGAATGTCTAATTACTGATTGCCGAAGCTAAGCGCGCCACCAGCACTGCTATCAATAATGAGTCAGTGGAAGCGGTTATTCTTTCATATGTGATGACCAAACACACCTGCGCTACACTCTTATGTACCATATGGTATTTATATAATGTTGCAGCATCAGAACTGCCGCCCTATAAAGTCTCTGCAGATGGCAGGAGCAGAAGTTTTAACAATTAGATTGTATCAGGAGAAGAAGACAGCAAGTGATGAACAATAGATCAGTCCCTGGAGAAATGTTACACCAATGTGGTTGACATGAAACCTGACCCACTACAGAAGCCTTCATAGGTCAAAGAGAAGGCAAGTCGTTCCTTTTATTCTTCAGACTGTTGACATGGCTGTACGAGTGCAGCTATTATGGCATACTGTGCAAAGAGCAAGACTGTACAATATTCTAAACCAACTTTCTTTGCTGTGACCACATTAAACTCCTGAAATCAGAATAACTACAAAAAAGACATGGATCTTCATAGTTTGTCATCTTTAAGAAAAAAGTAGTTTTTCCATATATTGTAATATCAGAAAAAGTGATTGTGTATGGCTTCTCCATGGTTCGAGCACTCATTAGGATGTGGAAGAATAGATATAGCTACCATAGTGTGCAGCCACACTCCCTCGTGCATAGCTTGTCTTAGCAGACATTTTCACGTTTATAGTCAAATGATTTGGATAGAGTAGAGAATTATTATAAACCCTGTCAGTTTCTATACTGTTGTTTGTGTCTCTTTGAGAAATTTTCCTTCCATTCCTGAACCAAAAGTTCAACAGGAAGTAAAAAACAAAAGAAAAAACTAAAAAGTAAGAAGAAATTCTCATTTAAGTCTGGTTCACATCTATGCGGGTAGTTAAGGGGCTGGAATCGCAATGATTTCCGCACCTGAAACCACCTGCAGTCATAGCACCTCCACGCATCAAAAAATGCAGTGCAGTTGAATGAAATTGCATGGTACAAAAAGCAACATGCAATTTTCCCTACATTTTTAGAATGGTGCAGGAACTTTTTCCTGCGGGAAATGCAGGCACAGCATTCCATTCAAATGATTGGGTCTTCATGTCTGCGCAAACACGCATAGATGTTATTCAGGATATAGACAGTTTTACCAGAGCAGGTGTCCTCATTTGACAGATGTCTCCTCACTTCCTGTTCCACTGACCATTGTTACAGCGGAACATATATCCCACAGAGCAAAAGCAACACAAAACCTGACACTGGTTCTTATTTGTTCTCAATGTACAAATACAGTTTCTATTTCTATATGTAAGCTCCAAGGAGCAGGGCCCTCCTATCCATCTAGTATTGAACTGTATTGTTGCTGTATTGTCTCCAGTTATATTGTAAAGCGCTGAGCAAACTGTTGGCACTATATAAATCCTGTATAATAATAATAATAATATGTGTCTCAGATATTCCTCCTTACTTTCTGCGCTTGTAACAGGAAAAATCCTCAAGGGACAAGCACAGAAAGGTATAAAACCTTTTCTATTCAAAAGGGAAAAAGAACTTTGGTTTGGAGTTGGTCTTTGATTTTAGCTGAAAATATTAAGGCTGAACTCCAGGCAGATATAAAAGACACAAGTAAATGCATATTTTTATTCATTAATACTTTAATAAATGCATTTTAAAGGTACTTGAATTTGACCTAACATCAGGCTATTGTAGTCTTTAGTACAGTAGAGTTCAGGCTGGAAGAGGAAGTAGCACAAGAAACCCATCAGTTGTATTGTCGTGCTTATAATCTGACAAGGAACATGTTGATATGAGGATAGAGCAGAGTGATAGAGAAATGAACTCACCAGTCTGCTGCCTCTCCCTTTATTCTTCAGGCACAGGCTGAAGGAGGGACAAGACCTGTAAGTGTTACTTAAATGCATCTGAGGGAAAATGTATTTATATATTACAGGTACTTATATAGCACCGTCAATTTACACAGCGCTTTACATATATATGGTACATTCACATTAGTCTCTAATCCTCAAGGGGTGTGCAGTTTAAGGTCCCTAACTTAACTTACATTCATACACATACTAGGGCTAATTTAGACAGGAGCCAATTCACCTACCAGCATGTCTTTGGATTATGGGAGGAAACCAGAGTACCCGGAAAAAAAACACATAGGCACAGGGAGAACATTCAAACCCCAGTCAGGTGGTGCCATGGTTGGGATTGAAACCAAGGACCCTAGTGCCAGGTGGAAGTGCTAACCATTTAGCCACTGTGCTGCCCAGGTCTCATGTTCTGCTACAGCTGTTTATATCTCTAAACTAGATCAACAGATAAACAAATCCTTTGGCAGGTAAGAAATCTCCCATATATGCCATTTGCCTGAAGTTCAACTTTCAAAGCATGTTATTGCTCACCAAACATTGTTCCGTGAATTGAGAAGATTCTTATACAGTGCTGTTTCAGAATGATCTTCAAATTTCGGGCAAATGAAGGAATCACGCTTTCTTCTCAAGTAATTTAGAAGGTCCCCGTAGCAGCAATATTCAGTGATGACAAGAGTTGGCCCTAGTGAATAAATAATGGTACACATATTTTATGAATGTGAATAAATGATGCACACAGCAGTGTGACACTTCAGTACACTGCAAACATCGCCATATCAAATCTGTTAACAGAAAGACAAATGGATTTTCACAGCTCTAACTCACTGCCCTCTAGAACTATGAGCAGGCAGGAGATAAAACATGAGAGGGTCACAAGATCCGTGTGGTATATGTTACATATAAAAATACAGGCCTAAGACGAATTGATATTCCTGCTGAATGCTCAGCTTATTTACTATGCAGACCAAGATGTCTGAATTTCAGAGTTTTAACATTGTAAGTTCCACATGCTTAAATTATAAACATGCCTTCTATAATGATTTAAGATGGGTAATAAGCCAAACAAAAAACTTTGCTTGATGTGCTTTCTTGGTTATGTTGCATCATACAGCACCTCATATATTAAAGTAGTTTGAAGGAAAGGTTGATGGAAGCAGTCAAATTCCAGCTCAGTTTTTCAAAATAAGGTTTTACCCTGGGTCAGGGGCAGACAGACCATTTGGAAACTACTGCCCCATGAGTTGTCAGTCCACCCCTGCCCTGGGTTCACAAATGTGCGGTGCGGTATATGGCATGTGATTTGCAAAGGAACTGCACCGATTTATGTGCAGTGCGTTTGGAGCCATACATTTTGTATGGCTCTATTTGCACTGCACCTGCACCAAAAATGTGCAGGACCCCTTTTTGAGTCCTCACTAGAATCGGATCACATAGGTATTCACACCTATGCGATCTGATTCTGCACATCGCGCCATGGTTTGCGGACCGCTTTTGGGGTGTTGTTGACGTAACATACACACCCGCAGTGGTTTGCATGAACTGGGTGCGATTCTGATACAGTGCAGAATTCGCACTGAAAACGCTGCAAATTCCGCACCGCATCAGTGTGAACCAGGGCCTACAGTTTCAAACTGGAAGCTAATATATGATTGGTTGCTAGAGACATACAGGCTCATATACTAAAAGAGATGAAACTCAATAACTTGTAGCATAGTTCACTTTAATAACCAATTATGTGCAGATGAAAAAAAAAAATTATTTTGAATTTGGTTCTCACATGATTGGCTAATTGAAGGAATCTTCACACATTGTATTGAGTAAGGATTCTTACTGCCTTAAATCATCCTCTATCTCCAGTTTTATTTTGCCTTTACTTTTGCGCTCTTGTTACTTAGTACATTTTGCAAACCTTACAAGACTTATTTAGTAAGTTATAAACAGCAACGAGCAAAGAGTGATCCACAACAATCAAATTTAAAATCAATTTTAATTAATGAACAAGTCAATTCAACTCAATCAATTTCAGTGAATTTTAGATTAATACAATCAGCCAACTAAGAGATATCTATTTTAGATGGGCTGTAAAGGCTTACCAAAACTGCAATGATATTAAACATTTTAATGATATTCAAAGACTGAAAAATCAAGGTAGAAAAAAATATTTTAATATATTATTATTTTTGAATACATTGTGTGGCTCCCTGACATATGTTCTATTTCTATATGGTTTACAAGCTGAAGCAGCCATAGGACTTTCAATATAAGTCATTGATGTTAAGTGGTTTGGGTTCAGACATATCGAGTCTGAAGAATCCAAGATAAAGAAGACACAGAAAGGTCAATACATAGGGTTCTTGGGAAGAACAATTTATACCAAAATGCCATAGGTACTACAGAGGAATCTCATGATTAATGCGTAAAGAATGCAAATGACAGTGTGTTCTAGACACTGCAGCTCATGTGTAGTAGAAGAGACCATGTTCAAGCCGCATTTCTTATAAAAGTGGTGATACAGTTAAAGACGTTGACAGAACATTGTTATAGAATTATTTTTCTCATTTGCAAGCTACTACTGAATGTGCAACAAAAAACAAATAGCGTGAGAATATGTGATCATGTGCAAGTTTCCACAGTTGTGTACATGTTATCAAGTGGTTATAAAAAGGGGAAGGGGAAGTGGGGAAGGGTAAGATCTCCTCCCAAATTTTATTGCAGCCTTGGTTCACACTGGGGAGATTACCTATTCATGTTCTAAGGAGTCAATTGACAGGAATGATGGGAATTCTCTCCAAAGGGGACAGACAGACAAAAAAAAAGAATAAAAAAAGGGAAAAGTTATAACCTTTTACTAAAGGCAAACAGACTGTGCACTGAGTCAAAGCTTTGTTTGCAAAGAATAACCAATCATAATCAAGGGAAAAAAAAAAAAAGAAGCATTTTTGCTTGCACATGATTAGATGTAGGAAGCCAGCAGAGCTTCCCCTCATTTACTAAGCTCTGGAGCAAATGCCTTTGTAGAATGAAACTACGCTTGCAAAGTGGCACAGTCTATTTATTTTTAGTAAAGCAATCCCTTTTGTTTTGTTTGCTGTCTGTGGCGCCTGTCCTGGTGACTTCTGCTTCCTATATGTGTTGCCTGGTGTCACACATGGAGGGGAACCAACCAACCAATAAAACCCTACAGAACGTCTAACCCTTTCCACTCCAATCAAAATAAATAAAATAAATCTGGCTAGACTGTAAGGTGGGCTTTATTACATAACAAATTAATAACTTCCATATTTGTATAGAATTAAAGTATCACAATTATGTTTAGTCCATAAAATGCAAATATGATCATCAAAAAATTCTCTTACAAACCAAACAAAAAACAAAAATAAAAAATGTAAAATAATTTTTCAATTGTTCAAAATAACAGTCAACAACTACAAAATAAAGTCCTGTCCCTTCCCCCACCTAAACTAGTAGTTTTGGCATCAGCTACATGTCTTAGGTAAATAGCATGTGACTGAGACACTTGTCTGGAGAGCAAATAAACAAAGAAGACAGGTAAAGAGCTGAGCGCAGACAATGCTGGGATTACAACTCTCTTCAGTCATAGAACAATGCTATTTCCTTGGCAGCACCACACTGACACTGTATCAACCCTATAAAGAAAAAAAAATGGAGAAAGTCTGGAGGATGGAGATGTCTTGTTATCTGCCCTGCCGCATGTTTCTCGGCAAAAGATGCCAATTAAAGATGATCACTTCTATAACTGTACTGAATAGGCTCTGTGTCTCCATCTGAATATGAATGGTGATGCATTTATTATGCTCCACACTGAACAACACAAGCCCACATAACAGCGTTTTACTTGTTTCTGGCTCCATGCAGGCTTAGTCACACATTAAGGCCTAAGCCATCCTTGCAATTAAGTGATTATCATTAACCCCTTAGGCATCCAGGTGGCTAATGTATTATATGTTTGCGTAGGTCTGTGACAGCTTTGTTTAATCCTTTTTACTAGTCCCAAAAACATAACACAACCATCTTTATTTAATATTAAAAAAAATATATCTAATATGCAGGCTGGCTTATATAGTAGAGGCAGGAGCAACAACAGAGATTTCTGATGAAGTTTAGTAAGCTAATTGGATGCTGTATGGCATAAGGTGGATAAGATAATTGTAGGCCTAAAGCAAGTCATACAGGGCTCTAATGTCAGCTGATTTCTGCTAAATCAGCTGAAATTTGAGTTGTGGGTGACCCTGTTAGCACCATGTGGCTAGACAAACTTCAATTTTAAAATCTAAGGAACCAAGAGGAAAATTCTCAGCCGAACAGCTAATCAGATACTGACTGTCCAGGTATTCTGACGCTGCAGAATACAATAGGAGGCAGAGAGATTCTTCCAACCACGCTTTTTAGCATGGATGGGTGAATTGAGTGATCTTTCCCATTTAGCTGAACTAGAGAAATCTACTTGGCTGCATTGCATGGCTAGCCGAAAAGAACAGCAATTCACAAGCTGGGCATCTGAACACTGAATGGTCTTTTCCACCTCTGTTGCTCATCGACATATGTATGGTTCCATTTTACGGACATTCATGTTATGTGATACAAGTAACTAGGATTTATCAACTCTCAAAATGGCACAGGGCATTTCTTGTTTATGAATACTCAAAATATGGCAAGAGATTTGGGGGTGTAGCCACCACTAAGTGCAATTCTTGAGAAAGGACTGTTTTTCAAAAATTAAACAAAGTGATGAAACAATGCAAAGCTACCTGCTGAGAGCAACTTGAAGATCAATATATTTCATAAATTCCCACCAGTGAGATGGCCAGGCATTTATGTTTATGGGGAAGGACTACTACAGTAGATGGCCCTGGTACTAATCTTTCAACACCAATTGGCCAGGTTAAATTTTCACCCCAAGAAAGATCTGCCAAGGAATGTTTAGAGAGGTTGGGAGTGTGTAGAGACATACACTTCTTCTATCTGCATGCCTCCTAAGGTAATGTAATGAGGAAAAAAAAAAAAAGAGTTTAACCTTAGATAATATTGTTTGCGTCCAGCTTCCTCCATTGTTACCATGAAGAAAGCCAAGTTTATAGCTGATGTAATATAAATATAGTGACACAATGCTTTGCCTCATACAGGAAGTCGTGTAAAGTGTTTCATGGAACTCAGTAGTACTATCTTCATCTTGTTTACTAAAATAGGGAAGTCTCATCAGCCAATATATGCAGACCACAGCTTCCCACTGAAAAAGTAGCACGTATTGACCGAACGCGGATAATGTTGGTGTGAAAATAAGTAAACATTCTGCAAGGCATAGCTCTGCCATAGTGTAGGATGGAAAATATTACTTGTGGCTATATCACTAGCTGTGTTCTATTTTAGAATGCTGGAATATAGACTCTATTAGAAAATAATAAATATTTGTGGTTAGATAACAATTCACTGTACCATAATGTTATTTGTTAGATAATGAAAGCATATATCCATTTACCTCCCACAGTGCATGCGCCAAGCAGATTAACAATGTTTTTGTGGTGACCAAGATAGCTCAGTACTTTCAGCTCCGACATGAGAGCTTCCCTCTCTGTGGCATGGGCACTTGCTGCAATGACAGTGAGAGATTTTATATAGCATTAGACAAAAAACAACCAAAAAACAATATGAATGAATATGAAATAACCAAAAGACTTACGTTTTAGCATTTTAACAGCAACAGTCAGTGTATTGTCACTCTTAACAAGACCGTAGGCAGTTGCTTCAACCACTTTACCAAAAGCACCAGCACCAAGAATCTTGCCTATTAAAAAAAGTTTTTAAAAAATAAAATACCTATTAATATTGCAGTGATACCAATATAAAAATAACATTGTATAACATAAAGAAAGAAAGTACAGCAAAGGCAAAACATAAAACATTGAATACACATGTACATGGGCTATGTGTCTAGATGCCTTTGCAAAGTATACCCAATAGAAATGCTTATATTTAAAAGACAAGCGTAATAGGAACAAGGAAGAAATTTCTCCATGTGAGGGGAAAACCCCTCTTAGATGTCACTATAACAGGTGTCCTTCTTGAAAGATTTCTACTCTATGCCTGTCACAGTGACAATTATACAATTTTGAAATTCTGCAACACTGGGGTTGATTTTCTAAAGCCAAATAGACTGTGCACTTTACAAGGGAATTTGCTCCAGAGCTTAGTAAATTAGGGGAAATTCTGCTGACTTCCATCATCCAATCGTGCACTAGCAAACATTCCGTTTTTTTCCCTTGCACGTGATTGGGTATTCTTTGCAAGTGCAATTGCAGTCTGCAAGATCATTTGCTTCAGAGATTATTAGAAGAGGTGAAGCTTCACTTTGCAAAGTGCATGGTCTGTTTGCCTTTAGTAAATTAAAGCCTTTCTGTCTCAGTGACAAAAGTCATCAGGACAGAGGTAAATTCTTTCCAGTGGTTACACAGCCTGACAGACGTTTTAATGTTTCCCAATCCAAAAGACTTTTGACTAGGCTGTATCTCAAGATTAGATCCACTGATCCTAGTAATGTAAATAGAAAAATGGAGATACAGCTGTAAGCAGCAGATTTGTTTTCCACAAAATGTTTTTGTTCTGAAATGGAGAAAACCTAAATATTGTTATAACATACAGTAACTTTGTAGTGTAACACACTTACCAAAGCACAGTCTGTCTCTTGGAAATTCCCATTTGTTGTCATAGGGAAGTTGTGTTGGGTCAATATAAACATAATTATTGCCATTGATTTCTTCCACTACTTTCCACTGGATCTCATACTTTGGTTTCTTTAATAAAGAGGAAGAACAATTGTTGATTTTTTTCACACCAACAGACAAAGGATGATCATGATTTGGAACTTACTAAATGTGCTGTACCTGCATGTACTTGTACATGAGAATCAACATTGTGAGGCACATCACTGCTGCAGCCACTATAAAGCCAATCAACAGCGGAGTAAACAATTTGTGGGAACTCAGTTTTTCTGAGAAAGAAAATGAGAGAAGGATTTAGTATTTCAATGTATTTAAAAATACACTATATTGCCAAAAGTATTGGGACACCTGCCTTTACACGCACATGAACTTTAATGGCATCCCAGTCTTAGTCCGCAGGGTTCAATATTGAGTTGGCCCACCCTTTGCAGCTATAACAGCTTCAACTCTTCTAGGAAGGCTGTCCACAAGGTTTAGGAGTGTCTATGGGAATGTTTGACCATTCTTCCAGAATTGCATTTGTGAGGTCAGGCACTGATGTCGGGACGAGAAGGCCTGGCTCAAAGTCTCCGCTCTAATTCATTCCAAAGGTGTTCTATCGGGTTGAGGTCAGGACTCTGTGCAGGCCAGTCAAGTTCCTCCACCCCAAACTCGCTCATCCATGTCTTTATGGACCTTGTTTTGTGCACTAGTACGCAGTCATGTGTTGGAACAGAAAAGCCATCCCCAAACTGTTCCCACAAAGTTAGGAGCATGAAATTGTCCAAAATGTCTTGGTATGCCGACGCCTTAAGAGTTCCCTTCACTGGAACTAAGGGGCCAAGCCCAACCCTTGAAAAACAACCCCACACCATAATCCCCCCTCTGTCAAACTTTACACTTGACACAATGCAGTCAGGCAAGTACCGTTCTCCTGGCAACAGCCAACCCCAGACATGTCCAATGGATTGCCAGACACAGAAGCGTGATTCCAGAGAACACGTCTCCACTGCTCTAGAGTCCAGTGGCAGCGTGCTTTACACCATTTCATCCGACGCTTTTCATTGCACTTGATGATGTAAGGCTGGGATGCTGCTGCTCAGCCATGGAAACCCATTCCATGAAGCTCTCTACGCACTGTTGTTGTGCTAATCTGAAAGCCACATGAAGTTTGGAGGTCTTTAGCTATTGACTCTGCAGACAGTTGGCAACTTTTGCGCACTGTGCGCTTCAGCATGAGCTGACCCCGCTCTGTCATTTTATGTGGCCTACCACTTCGTGGCTGACTTGCTGTTCTTTCCAGTTGCTTCCACTTTGTTATAATATCACTAACAGTTGACCATGGAATATTTAGTAACAAGGAAATTTCACCGATGGACTTATTGCACAGGTGGCAACCTATCACGGTACTACGTTTGAATTCACTGAGCTCCTGAGAGCGACCCATTCTTTCACAAATGTTTGTGGAAGAGGTCTGCATGCCTAAGTGCTTGAGTTTATACACCTGTAGCCATGGAAGTGATTGTAACACCTGAACCCAATGATTCGGAAGGGTCTCCCATATAGTGTATAAACAAACACCCTGTTTTAAAATATTGCTCCCTCATCACAAAAGTTTCCTAATCATCTTGCCAGCTTTCAGACACAAACAATTAGAAATACAATAGACTAAAGCGCAACTCCAGTTGTAAAAAAAAAAAACCTAAAGAACCTGTAATAGAATAAAATAAAAATGGCCCTCAAGTCTTCCTCCCCACTGGTTCCAGGAAGGATGACCAGTCCCACGAAGCTGCTCTTCTTCTTTGGTTGTTTTCACAGCCCCTTTACCAATGTTATCACCTACAATGCATTTCAGCAGCCAACACTGGTCTTGCATTGTATATGATGTGGTTTAGTGTCTGCCTACATTCCAGGGCTGCAGCGGGATCCAGAAAGTGCAACAGCTGCAACAGGACTGAGGAATAAGGCAAGTATTCCATTGTATCACAAGCTATTAGACTAAGCAAGCAGTAGACTATAGGTACACTGGAGAAGAGGGGCACCAACCCCACCACACTCACATGAAAACATTTTTTCTTATAATTTTGACCAGAATACAGCTTTAAGGGACTAAAAAGTACTAATTTTCTTTAATTTTTTTACATGGAAAACATTAGCTCTAAAGTAGAACTACAGGCAAAACTTTTTTTTTAATTTTGGATAGAGTAAGGAAGGTTTATAACCCCTATCAGTTTATTTTTTGCCATCTGTGTCCCATTGGGGATATTTACCTTCACTTCTTGTCCCATAGCCAGAGAGGAAGTGAGAGAAAATCCCTGCAAATTAAGGGAATTCCAGGAAGAGTGTCCCCTTTGGAAAAATGTTCCCTCTATTAGTTTTCTGGGGACAATCCAAAATTTGGGGTTTTCTTTTAGTTTAGACAAATAGAGAGGGTGAATCTCCCTAACGGGGGCACAGACAGCAATAAGAACCTAATACGTGTTCTAATCCATCTCCACTCTGTCCAAAAGGAAAAAAAAAAGTTTTGCCTTTATTTATACTTAAAGTAAACTTGCATAGTTAAAAATATATATATATTTTTTTTTTTAGTAAATCAGGTTCATGGGCTTATTATTTCTCCCAAGGAAATGTAAGGCCATTATTACAAAGAACACCACAAGATCTGAGTAAACCTGGTGTAAAACAAAAACTACCTTTAATTGCAAAACTGAAGATGGATGAGATCCTCTCCACATCATTGGATGCAATACACTGCACGGTACCATTTTTCCTGATAGAGCTTACATCTATGGTGCTTTCTACCACCATACGACCCAGCGTTGAATTTTCCTGGCTGAACTTTACATCAAAAGGGGGGATTCTTTGAAAATCTGTACACCTGCAACAACAATGCATGGTCAATTTTCCATCACAGGGTCCTAACGTCACAGAGTACATGGAAACATTTCCAGGTGTTCTTACTCAGTGTGGAAAATAAAACACCAACCCTGTGACACCGTGCCTTCATTTATGTAGTCAGATAGGTCACAGATGAGACAATACCACTTGAACTGAGAACTGCAAAACAGCTTATTGTGCCTCCATCACAAGGAAGGATGATACATTGGTAATTGTGCTAATGAACACAGTATCTCAATGCAGTACTTAAAAGATCCTTTGTCAATAATGCATGGATACGTAGGAATAGACAATGCCTGTCTGTCAATCAAAAAGCAGCCAGGACATCTGACTGTCTGCTCCTATAAATACAACATTCAATTTGATACGTCTGCAGCAATTTAGCCTTTAAACAGAAACTTGCTAATATGTGACAACTCTAGTTTTGACACTTCACAGAATATCAGCAAGGATTTTGTATTAAGGAAATTGCATGGGGAAAATTCAAATTGCTTGCTAATTTTATACAGTCTTTAGACATATACACACAATTGAGTAGAGATCCCCTTTAAGACCCCGTTATACTCATCCTATTACATTGCTTTGTAGCACGCAGTTTTATCTATTGTAGCTCAGAACTGTCTGTAAATGTGCAGTCTACTGTAAACATACATCTAGGATCATCAAATAAATAAAAATATACTACACTTGTTTCTATATATTGCTATACTAATTGTGCACCAGCTGTCATATAATCATTATTGCATACCGCTGCTCAGATCCTGGGCAGAAAACCCATTCAATGGAGGGCACAGGGAACCCAGCTGCCACACACTGGAGCATGCCATTGCTAAGCTTCTCAGCAATTAGGATTTCAGGTCTTGCTGTGAAAATAAAGGGAAACTTGGGATTAAAATCTGTCAATAAAACCATACAATGGCTGAGACTGTGTGAGAGGTAAAGGAAACTTACTTTTGACAAATATGTTGAAACTAACTGAAGCATTGGCATCAGAATTGGATGCATAAAAAGTATAAACTCCTTTTTCATTGCCTTTTAGTCGAATCAGGTGCAGCTGGCTAATATACCTAAAGTAAACAAAGATGGACATTCAGTAGTCAGAGATAGAATTAGTGGAACACATGCGCTTAGGGCAACTCTCAGTGAAGGTATATTTACTAGAGGAATAGAGATTGTTTACTGCGGTGAACAAGAGAGGGCTAGGCCTTTGTAGGACTTCCCTGGGGAGAGAGGACACGTTTTCTAACTGTCTGTAAGCATTTAATACTCAATGCAATGATTTTGTGACTTTTTGATAAAGGTTTGTGTGACAGGGCCAATAAGTATATTTTCTCAATTGAATAAATGAAGGGTTCAACCACTCCTACAACTACATATCTGCCAAAATGCACGCTGCACTGCTGTGGTTACCAGTGGGTTTAAGAGCAGTCAGACATTTCACTAGCCATCTAAGATCAATTGGAGGGCCTTTGTCGATGGGCTTGTGTCCTTGGGCATTTGCAGCACGCTTTCAGGAGCATTCTCCTTTCATTTAACATCAGTATGAAAAACTATGAAGATCATTCAGACTTAATTGACAGGTGCCTTGACCTGCAGTTGACTTCCTTCTGATCTGCATCTGACCTGCTTCTAAACCACAAAAAACTGCTTCAAACTGCTTTTTTGTGTCCCCATTGTGTGGAGAAAGAAAACTCCATTACCAAAAAAGACATAAGGCTTTGCCCTGCTCAACAAGGCTGTCAGATTGGAGGACTTTGGTTCTCCAGCCCAGAAGTTTACTAAGATTAAGTTTTGTTGGTTTATATGGTTTATGCAAAATAAGAATGTCCAGTAACTATTATTACTTTACCTGTTATTGCCCTCATCTCGCGACTCTACAAAGTGGTCTGAAGTGTTCAAAAGGGTTTCGTTCATGTAGGTCCAGTACTCTTCATCAGGGCGTGGGTAGGCATCAATATAAACCTGCAATATGATGTTCTCTCCAGCGTTTAAATCAACTGTAGTATTGTCAGTGACGACCAAGTTAAGGTAGCCAAATTCTATAAAAGTAACAAAATTAGATATCATTACAATAACAGCTTAACACACACACAGTTCATAAACATAACATGCAAAGACATGGAATTGTGTACGCAGAATGGGCCTTATTCAATAAAGAGTAATTTTTAAGTGCAGGAAGCCATGACAACAAAAAAATACTTTGAAGTGGTCTGGCTTAATCAGAGTGAACTGCAGGGACACTGCTCACAGTGTTTAATAAACCCTATAGGAAAACACAAAATGTCACTTCGGGTTTATGCTCCACTCACATAAAGACATGATTCAAGCAGCCCCTAAAATGGACATCTACACAAACCCTAAGGAGGCACATTGTTGCAAGATGGCCTTATGACTAACAATGTGTAAGGGCAGAGATTCTTTTTTATCTCACACGCAGGAGACTGTAAAGTAATACAATGAAAGGTTACTATGGACTGCAAGATGAAATGCTTCAGATAGCAAAAAATTTCGATAAACAGTGAACACTTTCAGTTATAAGTGTACATCCACCAGACGTGTGACTGATGTCTGCATCAGGCAATAGAAATCAATACAAAAAAGAAGTGGAAATCGGTGGTAAAAATAGGTCTTCAATTTAGATAAAGATAAAATTAACTTGGTGGGATTACGTCAGTGAATCCACTAATAATACATTGCAAATATTTAATTAAGTTACCTACCGAGAACTTCCAATGTGAATGTAACATTCACTACGCCAATGCTGTTCTTGGCTTGACAGGTGTATGTACCAGACTCATTAAATTGAACGGCTTGGCTGCTCAGAGTGTAGTTGCGCTCAAAATTAGAAGTGGAAATAAACACAGGCTCCTTTCAGTGGTTTTCTACAATAAAATCACAAAATTAGCTATTATGATGAAAAAAAAATGATTCATTATGTCAAATCAGAAGTCTGAAGAAAGGCCTTGACAAGCTGTCTGCTGCAAGTAGCTTTTCATACAATTGGATAATGACAGATGAAATGATAATGACAACAATGCAGGTGCTTGCGTGATGGAGAAAAGTTTATTACTAGGATCTGGCTGACTATTAAATCACCTTTGCAGCTTCATTAAAATATGCTAATTACACATGACTGGGCCACCATATCTTTACACACGGACAAAAGGAACCGAACATGAAAAATGGGAAATGGAAGATGATCATGCTGCAGGGAATATGGAGAGAGAGGAAGGAAGGAAGAGGGGGGGCTTAGAATATTGTGAAGGTTCTCCAAGATGTCAATGCTAATTATGGCAGGGAATGTGATAGGCATTGTTATAGACAGTATACCATGCAAGGTATGGCAGACAGTAATGAAAGTGTCTTCATCAATTAGAGGGTTGCAGTCATTGTCTCAGCAATAAACACAACTATCTGATTCAGAATCAGCTGTAAGATTCATTATATATGAATATATATATTACACATATCAACTGTTAATCTGATTAACCCCATACACTAACCACAAATCTGGGTGGTTCTTTACCTTGAACATTTCTTTGATATCAATCTTGAATAAGATTGTGGAAGAAAACTATCAAAAATGTTAGTAGCTTATGTTTGCTATTATGTTTTGTGTGTTTACTTAACAGGCCTCATGTTAGCACTAATGGGGTTATTTACTAAAACTGTAAGGTACAAAATCTGTTGCAGCTATGCATAGAAACCAGCCAGCTTCCAGGTTTTATTGTCAAAGCTTTTTAGGCAGGTAGTGTATTCATGAGACTGAGAACAGGCACATGCCACGCCATCCATCATTCTCTATGAATCCTCTACCTGTCTTTAGACAGTTTTAGATGCATTCTGGACAGGTTGGTAGAACAATGGAATCATCAGCTCTGCATTTAAGAACACAATCTTTCAACTCTGTTGCCATGATGCTGTAAACGGAGATGGCCATAGTAACAGGCACATGAGAGCACAAAACATGCTTGCAGCCTTTTCCTGAAATACAGTACCTATGTCACATGTAACAACAGTAAGTTCCCTAGACAGTTGGGCCAGGGTCACTTTGTTAAAGCTAGCTTACAAATTAAAGAGCCTCCTGTCAATAAACACTGTTGCGTAATATTTGCATGCATTTGTTAGCACAAACTTAGTTCCTGAGTGGTGTAGTGTTTGTATATATAATATCTTAACATTGGTGTTGCACAATTATCTCCCTATTGCTTAGTAGGGATAGGTAGGAAACAGAACCCCCGTGAAACTACTCAATCTGAAACAAGGACCCTCTCCTCTATTACACTTAAAAACAGTATCTTGCGCTAACCAGAGAAACAAAACATTAATGCGGCTAACCTTCTGGGTTAAAGGGAAATAAAATGAAACAAAAAATTCCTGTTAGACTGATTTTACCTGCAATTGAAGCAAACATATCTTCAGATCAGACTTTAACATCAATAATCATAGTGAAAAAAAAAAGTCTAGCTCAGCATTATCATAGCAGAGACCAATGTAAAACAAAGTAATTGAACCATTTTGCAAGGGATTATAAACATAACCGTAAGTCTAACCTTCTAAAAAAAAAATAAGAAAATAAAACCACATCCTCAAACCCCACAAAAAGGGCAGACATAATGTACCACCAATTCTTTTTTTCCATCACATTTCTACGTAGCTAATTTCATAACAACTCATACAGTTTGTATGTAGAGAATATTTCCCAGTCTGGATGTTTTGCTCGGAAAATATTACCCGTGCCTGGATCAATTGCATGTTACTGTAACATGACTTGTGTACAATCTTGCATTTCTTCTGAAAAAGCCTTTCTCCCAAGGTTAGCTGACAATGCACAGACCTGACAAAAGTGAGTGTTGTTTTCACATGTAAATACACTCTGGGGCGCCCAGCTCTAAATCTACAGACTTGTGTTTATAGTGCACTGAGAATTTGAGACACCCACCAGCTGTTACCACACTGCCGTCCTTCCCTCCATTACAGGAGCCTTTCAAATCACAAAAGCTTTTATGTGGCCAAAACAGCAAATTAATACGTAAGCGGCACAACCACGTTTTAATAATTTAGCGCTATTTACAGGCCATTATTCAAAGAAGTGTTTTCATTTGAGACAAAGTACGAGATGTTGTTGAAAATACAATGTGACTGATATCTTGTGTGAAAATGTCATTTTCAATTTGATCCAAGGTGCTGTAGGTATTTAGGCAAGCTACAACTTACCAAGGATGGTGCATCAATCCAAAGGACCTCTACGGCATTAACATCCCTCACAACACAGGTAACCTCAAACGACTCCCCAGTCTTGACAACTAGCTTGGATTTTGTTAAAGTAATTGTGGGTAACTTTTTCTGAACTGAAAAGAAAAAAAAAATAGAAATATTAGCTATTACCAGCATTAGCTGAGTAGAACATTGCATCAAAGAGAAACAAGTTGACTGGAAATTGATATTTGTTACAGATCACAGAAAAAAAAGCATACAATTTTTACTGTTTTTACTTCAAAATCATATACTTTTGCAGCAGACAAAAATGTTTCTTTTATTATAATCTGTACCATTTTCTTCCATAGTAAATACAGGGAGTAACGTTTCTGACCTCCTAGGAATACTAGCTACCTGTCTCTCAGTCACTGACCTGGAACAAGAACGTAGATTAGAATGTCAAAACTCCTGCACCAGGTTAGTAAATGTACTTAAGGATGTTAAAGAACTTGAAAGTCTGAGAATTAGAATGTTCAGAAGGAGAGGTCAATGATTCTAGCCTCAATATTTTTTAACCATGGATTTCCTTTCAAGAGGGCAAGTTAGGTGCTCCAGCCACAAATACAGGGATGTTTATCCTCACTTGCGGGATCATCCCTTTAGTAGAGGAATGATAAAGTTCACCCAGGCAGCCAACAAGTAACTGACAGGACTGTGGAATTGAGACTACACTGTGTACTTGAACAAGCACTGGTTTGTACTGAAAAGCAGACCAGGCTAACATTTTAAAACCAGAGGAAGAGAAGTAAAAATCCGGCAGATGCAACGTAAAATAAAATTTGTAAAGACTTTATTGATGATCCAACACAAGAGGAATCTATTACATAGCAAGGTTGATACGTTTCAGCTCTAATTTGGGTCTTAGTCGCTTTATAACTAAGGCCCAGAGTTCTTTTTCAGTAGAATCAAGTTGCATCAAGCTGGCAGACTTTTACTTCTCTTCCTATGATGTTGGACAGTATGTGCAGCATTTGTCTTGGCACGGGCAGCTACACCCTACTCTATCACCTGAATGAGTCAATAATGCAGAGGAATATGTTATTCATACTTAATACTATAAATTAGATAGATATATTATTATATACTTAATATAGTACCACTTGACACTGCCAGCACTCTAGCAAAGGTTTTGTAAAACCTGACTTTCTAGATAGCAGTAATTGTAAAGAACATGCTTACAGAGTTCACTCAGGTTCATCCTTAGGGCTCATGTACACTGCAGCTGCTAAACTCACGTTCAGGAGCTGTTCAGCATTTTTTTCAGCAGTCCCTGAACTATCCCTAATGTTTTTCTATGTGTCCATGTACACTATGTCGTTTACAGTTGTTTACAGGCAGTTGAGTTTGCAGCCGTTTTTTTTTGCACGCACCAAACTTGCGTTCAGGGATAGATTTTACCAGCGTTTCAAACGCCAAACACTTGTAAACGCGGTTAACCGCGTTTATGTTTAGAAGCGTTTTTTAACTGTTCCATATCCAGATGCTGTCCAGAGCCTTTTTTCATCATCAGAAATGCGTGCAAAGCGTTCTCCATGTATTCAAATGGACCCGGTACACCAGCGCAGTAAGATCTAGGTTTTGCGCGAAGGGAAAAATGGTAGAACGTGTGCTGCATTATGCTCCTGATGGGATCCATAGTGCAGGCCTTGAAATCTCCACTCGCCTGCTCGCATTTCGCTAGTGGAAATAACATGGGGGCAAGGGCCAGATCAATCAAACAGCTGATGGATATGGAGCGGGGTGCCGGCACCAGAGGCGGAATAAGCTTTCAGGCATTTAGGCACTCATGCACTACCCAAGAGTCCAGAGTCCTTAGGACGTCCTATGACAGGCTTCTGAAAGGATGGGGAGTTCCGCAAGGTGGATTGTGCAACTGTGCTCCCAGTCCGGTCCGGTGAGAGGAAAGAGAGACTAACAGAGCCCAAGGAGGAGGACACTTCACAGACTGGTGAGAACTCAGCATGTAACAGTGGGAGGAAGGGGGAGAACTGTCTGTGACCGCAGTGTGAAAGGCTGAGAGAGGGGAGTGTCTGTGTCTGTGTATATGTGTGTCGGTGTGTGTGTGCTTGTCTGTATGTGTTTATGCGTGTGTCTGTGTGTATGTATGTGTCTGTATGTATGTGTGTTTGTCTGTATGTGTGTGTGTAAATGTGTATGTATGTGTGTGTGTCTGTATGTGTGTGTTTGTGTGTGTGTGTATGTATGTGTGTGTGTGTATGTGTGTTTGTCTGTATGTGTGTATGTGTGTGTGTGTGTGTATGTGTGTGTGATGATGGTGGTGGGGGCTCTGTATTCACTTTATGTAGTAGGGGGCCCTGTGTGTGTTCGGGAGGGGGGCGCATCGTACCATAATGGAGACCATGTGTTCTAAGAGGGGGGGTTGTGTGCTCATTATAACCTCAAATTATTAGGGGATGGTGCCATAATTGTGAGTAGCAGAAATACCAATCACCCCCCTTTTTTTGCCCCCCCCCCTCTTTTTCTCTCACCCCCTTGTCTCTCTCTTTCCCCCTCTCTTTTTTTTGAAAAGGGGGTAGAGGACATGGCTATGGGGCGGGGGGGTGAAGGAGGGTATATATTTATTTCTGTAACTGTGTTCTGCATAAAACATTTAACAGTGTCATTTAATGAGAGAATTTACGAGGGCATGTTTAGGGGAGGGATTAGGGCGTGGCAGGGTAGCGGATGGGTAGAGCAACTGGTGGTGAGTAACTCCTAAGGCCTGGCTAGTAGCTCAGGACTTTAAATTTTAAGCCCCGCACAGTGACTACAACCAGAAAAGACGGGTAATCTCAGCACATACTGCTCTCTCTATTTCTCTCAAAATGTCTGAAATAGTTAATTATTTACTATTTTTCAGTGCATTCTGGGCATTTGGGAATGTCTCCTGAGGTTATCTTTTAAAAACGCTTCTAAACGCAAACGCGCATAAACGCATTATGGAAACGCAGCTAAACTGATGTTTTTTAACCTACGTTTTCCATCAGTTTCCATCGTTCAGAAGAGTTTTCCAAACGTCCCGTGTACATGAGCCCTTTGTCATAGGGGTTTATTTACTAGAGAAGTATGGACTGTTAACTTATCAAAGCGAATGTTCACTTTAAACACTAAATCATGTTCAAGGGGAAAAAAAGGGAAAAAAACCAAGCACAGGAGATTTTTGCATTTTTGCTTGCTTGTAATTTGATGATAGCAGTGAACACAGCTTCACCTTGTTCACCAAGCTAAGCAAAGTGATCAAACACTTTCCAAAATCAGCAGTCTCCATTATTCTAGAAAATCAACCCCATGATGTTTTCAGCGATATGGTTAAGGACAAGCCTGTCCTAACCTTGCATGCTTGTCTGATACCGCTATCAATAAAAGTTGGCTTTTACAGGACCTAGACAGGTATGTTGGTGATTTGCTATAATGGAAAAATATTTAGGTCGCACAAGCTGTACACCTCCCATTCTATGTTCTGTAATGAAGGATTCAAGGTTTAGCAGTCCAGAAAAGGCCAGGGCACCGTACAAATCCCTTCAGACACATAATCTATTTGGCATACACCAGAGCTGTCAGCCTCTCAAGTTTGAAGGTTGCCACTGTGAACCAACTTTAAATAACAAATCCTGGCTGGAGCTGTGTTTGCTGTATATTTAAAACACAGTTAACAATTGTCAAATTCTTGCAATAATGGATTACTGTTAGCATTTTACCGTATTTTTAGCAAGTGTTTGGAAACAAAGGAAAAGGTAAAAAGAAACATGTTTTGTTCACATGAGTGCCTGGAAAGATAACTTGGTCTCCATATGCCTATTACTAGAGAGAAGAGACTGCTCAATACTCTTGGGAAGAATTTAGGATCATTAGTAGCTGAGGTCACGTGTTAATGGATAAGACAGTGCTACAGTTCGAACACAGCATCATGACTTCATTTAGTCAATTGTAAGAAAAGTCATTTCTGCTGGCGGCTTGGGAGTAGAGACAATCATTATTTTTATAAACGTGCACAGATAAAGTGCCTCGAAAAAGTATTCATACCCCTTGAAATTTTTCACATTTTGTCATGTTACAACCAAAAATGTAAATCTTATTAGGATTTTATGTGATCAAGCAACACAAAGTGGCACATAATTGTGAAGTGGAAGAAAAATGATAAATGGTTTTCAAAATTTGTTTACAAATAAATATGTGAAAAGTGTGGCGTGCATTTGTATTCAGCCCCCGAGTCAATACTTTGTAGAACCATCTTTTGCTGCAATCACAGCTGCAAGCCTCTTTGGGTATGTCTCTACCAGCTTTTCACATCTTGAGAGTGAAATTTTTGCCAATTCTTCTTTGCAAAATAGCTCAAAATCTGTCAGATTGGATGGAGAGCGTTTGTGAACAGCAATTTTCAAGTCTTGCCACAGATTCTTAATTGGATTTAGGTCGGGACTTTGACTCGGCCATTCTAACCATGATTACCCAGTCTCAAATCCTTTGCAGAATCTAACAGGTTTTCTTCTAAGATTGCTCTGTATTTGGCTCCATCCATCTTCCCATCAACTCTGACCAGCTTCCCTGTCCCTGCTCAAGAAAAGCATCCCCACTACATGATTCTGCCATCACCATGTTTCACGGTGGGGATGGTGTGTTCCGGGTGATATGCAGTGTTAGTTTTCTGACACATATAGTGTTTTGCTTTTAGGCCAAAAAGTTAAATTTTGATCTCATCTGACCAGAGCATCTTCTTCCACGTTTGCTGTGTCCCCCACATGGCTTCTCCCAAACTGCAAACAGGACTTCTTATGATTTCCTTTCAACAATGGTTTTTTTTCTTGCCACTCTTTCATAAAGGCCAGATTTGTGGAGTGATTTGTGGATTTGTGGACAACTAATAGTTGTCCTGTGGACAGATTTTCCCACCTGAGCTGTGGATCTCTGCAGCTGCTCCAGAGTTACTATGGGCCTCTTGGCTGCTTCTCTGATTAATGCTCTCCTTGCCCGTCCGTCAGATATTCAAAGATTGGGATATTTTTTTATAACCTATCCCTGCTTTAAACTTCTCCACATATTTATCCCTGACCTGTCTGGTGTGTTCATTGGCCTTCATGATGCTGTTTGTTCATTAATGTTCTCTAACAAACCTCTGAAGGTTTCACAGAACTGCTGTATTTATACTGAGATTAAATTACACACAGGTGGACTGTGGACTATTTACTAATTAGGTGACTTCTGAAAGCAATTGGTTCCATTAGATTTTAGTTTAGGGTATCAAAGTAAAGGAAGCTGAATACAAATGCATGCCACACTTTTCAGATACTTATTTGTTTCAGTTTAGGTCTGTCAGTTTAGGTGGAAAAAAAACATTAGCAGGACATTTTATTCCAGCTTTCAGAGCTCCATGGTATAAATACCGTATATGGAATCAGATAAGGACTTATAGTTCTGTATTCCTCCAGTAAACCAGAAGCCTGAACAATGGAACTGTAGGACAGAAGAAGCTATTCCTTTCCCTGTCCTTCCCTGGTAGCCTCTCAATTACTGCAAGTTATTTGTTTTGTTTTCACAATTTCAGCAGCTGAACCCAAAACTTACATTGTCTGCTCCTTTTCTTCAGTTTTACCCAGTGCTCCAATTGCTTATCCCTATGTCCAGTTTCAGGGTTGCTTCTAGGCTTGCAGGTCCCATAGAGCCCTGCTGAAGCCACTGTGTCCTGTGCCCTCCCAGGGAGGACTACATGCCATTCCAAGAATGCTGCCTTAGTCAACTCGCACAGGCAGCCCAGGATTGTAAGCAGATCCAAATTTGGTAAATGACTGGGGGCAAGCATGCACACTGGCACCAGGGATGATTAAACATGTGGTCCCAAGTAGGGGGATCATGTGCCTTCTAATGATGGTATGGGTGTGCACTTCCATACAGGAAGATCAGGAAGTGACGCAGAAGATGCAGAAGGTTGTGGGTGTAAAAGGATGCAACGGTCAGTGGTTCTAGACTTTTATGAAAATTTCCATTTATTGTGCTGTTCTACATTTAAATAAAAAAAGTTTCTGAAATAAAATACATATTTAGTGCTACTTGAAGCAAGTCTTGTGACTGAAAGCAACCAAGCTGCCAAACAGAATGGGTCAATTTATCCTTTTCATTTTTTTGCCTTCACTAAAACCTAAAAAGGGTGAAGATGTTTGGGTCATATATGAAACACAGAAAGTCTTTTCTTTTAGACACTTTTATGGTTATTTACTAAAACTAGAGAGTACAAAATCAGGTGCAACTCTGCATAGAAACCAATCATCTTCCAGGTTTTATTGCCAAAGCCTTATTGAACAAGCTGACTGGCTACCATGCACAGCTGCACCAGTGCTCCAGTTTTAGAAAATATACTATTTTCAGTCTTGATTTATTATTGGGCTGATGTACCAATAAATCCTTTGAAAATTTTATGCTTCATCCTTATTGTTGGATATATCAAGGAATACCTTTTTTCTCAAGAGGTTGGCATTTTTTTTGCAGAGAAAGTCTAAATACAACCACAATCTGTAAATAATTAGCATATTTATTGGCACCTTTATCAAACATAATAAATGTGTCTGTTCTACTCACCAGGCCTGACCATCAGTTTCTTGAGGCTGGAACGCTTCAACACCCCCCATTATGAGTTACTGTACAGACATAGCAACCATCAAAATTAGTCTGCACATTTTTTATGGTGATGCCATATCTAATATCCTTCTCATAGACAAAACCTTCAGGTAGTTTATAACGGTCACACTTTTCAATACCATAGTCAGTGACATCTGAATCAGTCAGGGGACAGAGGCCAGATGCATCCTGGCCTTCTGTTGCATCAACATATGGTAAAGTCTCAACGAATGGACTTGCAGTAGCTAAAACACAAACACATAACAAATACATATTACTTATAGTACAATCTATATTCTTTACAGCAGATGTCTACTAGGCAGTTTATTTTTTAAAATGGAACGTCAGGTACTTTGATAAGAACTTAAATGCTTACTTTGTTGATAAACAATTAGGCTAGTCCAGGTGAGCCTATACTATGATATCCTTCATTTCTCCACCTGTTCATAAAAACGACTTCAGATGCAACTTGTAAGCTAAATTTAAATGCATGACCCACCATTTTGGCAGGACAGGAGATCTGTGGAAGTTCAGCAAGGGTACCAAATGACTTCATCTGGCTATATGCCTGTATAGGAATGTCTGTTTAAAGGATATCTTAACTAATGAGCTAAAATGTAATATATTGCACCTTACCAGGACTTAGATACAGAGGCTGCATTAGTTTTCATTTTGCAAGAACATTTTTGGCTCAAAGTTATTTTCCTTCTATAAACAACTAGTTCCCCCCACCACCACCATCCATTGTAACTGAGATGAAGAGAAGATATATTTGAAGTGCAGCCTGGATGACAACCATGGCTCCCTCTCTAGATACAGCAGAGTTTGCAAAAGTAGCCACCCAGGGAAAGAAACCGCTATTTGCACAAAGGTAAAAATACAGGATAAAATTTAAAAAAAAAAAAAAAAAGGAAACGCAGTAATCTCACCAAGGACTGATAATTTCCAGTGCATTACATTTTTAGTTTTAGATGTGCTTTAGGATTTTTTGTATGAAATATTGTTTTTTAGTTCAGAGAATGCTGGGATTGACTCAAGGCATGTGCACATATGCTCTGCTGGCAGGGCCGATGCTTCCACCAGGCAAGCTAGGCGGGCGCCTAAAGTGCACTGCCACCTAGGGGCACCTGCACGTAGCACAGGCTGGATCTCTCTCTGTGTAGGATACCGTCACGTCATGAATGATCCTTCAGGGGTGACAGAGGGGAGGAAAAAAAAAACATGCCGGGTGTCTGGGGCCAGTGTAGCAGCTGAGCTACCACTCCTTCCAGTGTTCCTCTCAGACTCAGTTCCTTAATGCAAGCTGGCTGGCAGCAGCTGGAGTTCCAGCCCTTTGCTTTCCATTCATCAGGTAATGTCTGACTCTGATGTCTCGTATCTGTGAGAGTGTGACCGGGCTGGCCATCCATCACATGTGCAATGTGTCAGTGAGTGATGACATCATCACGATGCTGGGCCTGCTTTTCTAGTGCTGCTGCTGCTCTGTGGCAGTGTTGGTGTTGATGTGTTGTGTTGGATCTGTCACTGTGTGGGATCACTGAGTTCAGCTGCCTGCTGTCACAGCGTTAATATTTTATATGAATATTTTCTACTGTATTTAACAAATTTTTTTTTTTTTTTGGCAAGGGCGCAAGTAGCTGGTCTTGCCTAACGTCCAAAATAGTCTAGCACCGGCCCTGTCTGGTGGTGTCTTCCAGATATGTAGAGACTGGCGGTGCACATGCACACTGGTGGTGGGATTTCTAAGCGTGTGCACAAACGCCACCAGCTTCTGGCAGATTGCTACTAAACCACCTTGCATATGTGTAAGAGGGCAGGGGGAGGAATAAAATAAAAAAAAAATATTTGCAGTGAGTTTAATTCTACTTTAAATCTAAAGTCTATATGGGTCTATGTTCGTAAGAGAAGAGAGGGGTAGCATCTCCTTACTTGAGTCTGTAGTCAGCAGCCATGACAAATAAAGAAAATATGTATAAAACACTCTACATTTCTCTATAAATACCCCAAAACATAAAATGCCAAGACATGACATTCAGATTGGTTTCTGTTATGCTTTTTTTGCTTGTACCCAATATTTTTAAAATCCACAGCAAAGCCACAGGATTACTAAACTTTGATAAAAATAAGAAACAAAGCAGGGGCGTTTCTTCCACTTTTTTGTTTGGATTTTGTAACATGAATATCTGTAATGTCCCAGTTTACAAATGCTGCCTATCTGGTAGTTACCTATACAAATGCCACGAAAAGTAGCTTACCTTTAACAAACAGGTAAAAAGAAGAGAAGATGCTGCCTGTCTCTTTATCAGCACATGTATAATTTCCAACATGTTTCCTTTCCACATTGTTAAGAGTTAGAACCAATTGATTCCCATTTTGACGAAACTGATTACGGTTCATCGGTTTAAACTTTTTACTTCCTGGTCTTTGGTGACTCCACTCCAGCTTTGTAGAACCGGTGCAAGGTTCCTCAAAAGATTGTCCAGGTTTCACCAATTTGTTTGTAGCATCACCAAAAATGACTGGAAATGAAACCACTACAAAAGGCAAAAAAAGATAATCAGTACCTTTCCTGTAAAACTGATGCTGATATTGGCATATCACCTAACTGATCTGTTTATATCACCTAATCTGTTTATATAACATCTTAAACCACTTGTGATTTTTGCAGTGCACAGCCAAGGCACCAAGAGTATTGCTAAAAAGGACACTTACAAGGAACTATTCATTAAGTTATGAACACCGAACAAACATTTTTGTATGTATTAAATCAGATTATTATGCAAGTTTTTCTTCAAAAGATATGTCTTTGAAAAGTTTGAATTTTTTCAAAAAGCCATATGATTTTTAGGTTACAACAGTTCAGACTCTGAAGTAGGTTGTACTTTGACAGTTCCCTGAAGGAGAGCACTGGCTGGAGCAAAACTTGTTTGAAATTAGTTCAGTTTGCACAATGTTTCCAACTGACTCCTTCATACTTGTGGTTTTCTAGAAATCAATTTGATAATTTTTTTGGCCATCAAGGTAAAAAAAAAAAAAAAAGACCAAAAGACAGAAAGCAACTAGAAAAGCTTAGAAAATCTTGACTCACAATATATGTACTAAATGTATGTGTAATAGTTAGGTAGATTGGCCTGTTAGGGCCCTTTCATACTGATGCACGTTTGATGCACTTCTAATGGCTATTGTGCAGCCCAACGCCCGTTTCCCACCGGTTAACTTTTGATGCACTTCCATTGACTTAAAATGGAAGGTATCTTTCTGGTGCACTTTTGAAAAACTGCACAAAATATGCAGCATGCGTGATCTTACAAAGAGCAGTGCACCCGCAGTGTGAAGAGTTACATAGGACTTATTGGAGAATAGTTTTCATTTACTTTTGTTGCCCTGGAGAAGCACAGCAAAAGCGCACCAATGTGTAAGGGCCCATGTCTGAATAAGTATTCAAACATTTCTGCAAACTAGAGTTTCAGTATAAGGTTTGTGATAAACACAAAGCCCATGGGCCGAATCCAGCCAACCAGGGCACCCTGAGGCTGTGACCCCCTTCGCCTTCGAATTCACCTTGTCTCAGCAGTCAACAGTAGAGAGGACAAAACTCCTCTGACAGATCCTGCTCTTCTCCATGCAGCCATGGATAGGCTCAACTCTGCTCACCAACCCCCCCGTCTCTGCAGTCAGAAGCAGAGAGGAGGACAGAACTCCTCCTACAGATCCTGCTTGTCTCCCTATGCAGGCACAGCACCCTCTCTTCTCTGCCTCCTTTGCTCTCAGCATCTGACTCTGCTCCTACTTTGGTCCTTCTCCAGACCCTGCACTTTCTGCTTTCCAGCTCCTCCCCAATATTTCTTCCCGGCAGCAGCACAAGGAAAGGGGGTGCACTGTGATATAAGGGAAGGTGGGGGACTCTTGATGTGTGTTTGTGGGTGGGTTCTTGACATCTGACATAAAGGGGGGTGGGGTGCTCTGGACATCTAGTCTTAGGCACGCCATAGACGGTATGAATTTCCTGCTGATCCAGCTGATATTCAAACAGTCTATGGCTGGTTTTACAAATATAACTGTCCCTTTGAGGGCAACTAGAATGCTGACGTTACCCATGATGAAAGTGAGTTTGATACGCCTGTGCTAGAGAATACAGAGTATGAAAACACCTAAACTATATTTTTTTTTCCATTAGAACAGGTTGATTTTTCAAAGTCTCATACACCTCAGTAGAGCTCTACCTTGACAATTTCGGGTATCAGCATTTAAAATGACTTTCCAAACATTGTGTTGTAGCTTTATTCCAAAATATCAGTTTTCCTGTACGTACATGCCAACTTCCAGTGGCACGTAATATAAAACAGGACCATCTCAAACTCATATGTTCTATTTGAATGGTACATGCCAGCAGCTAGTGCCCAACTCTTTTGGAACGGAGTCATCTCAAACTGACAAGTTTAGTTTTTCCATTTGAAATCCCCAAATGTAAAAGATTTAATTATTTTCCTACCACCACAGAAAAAACATTGTTATACAGGTAATCACACTCTCACTGAGAGCTGAAATAAAGACAGATGTCAATAGTTTTATATAAGGTATGCATAAATGAGGTGAATGGGTACCATGCATCAGGTTATACAAAATAAAGTGTTTCTAAATTGGTTAGTAAATGCACATAATCTGCATAATTAGTTGAGACATTCCTAAAAAATTTTTTTAGTTCTTTGTGCCTTACAATAAATGCTTAAATTACTTTCAAATGTAATGGGTGGAAAAAAAGTTGTAAAATTCTAGGGCCAGTCAGCTCAGCCTATGAGCAAAATAGCATATGCTAAACAATAGAAGAAACCAGTGAAAACAAGAGCTATAACTTCTTGAGCCAATGGTTTGGATCAGTCCAAATACTTATATATTCATCACACCATTACATTTACACAATACTAACAAGAAACATGGCTGAACTAGAAGAAAAGGATGACCATTTACCAAAACAGCTCCATAGAAATAATACATAACAAGTCATATCAATTTACATCATAGTACTGTAACTGTACTATTAAACTGCACTGTGCTGTTACTGAGAAAAGGAATTTTAATTCTGGAAACAAAATAAAATGTATTGGTGAAAAGGATCCCATTGTCTGTGGTTGTAAACCTAATCTGCAATTCATCTTACTTCCTCATATAATTGTCATGAAATACGATGCACTATCCTTTAAATGATATGAAATAAAGAAGTGGCCCGGCACCACACTAACGTGCTGAATTCAGTAGCAATAAACTTATACTTTAGAAGCACCCTAAACAGTTGTCCTCTCTAGACAAGAAATGTGAATCTCCGAATCCTAGAAGTAATTCTCTCTTACAATAAAACACAATAATCTTCTTTTCAGAGGCTGACATCTCCAGTGATTTACATACAAAAAACAATTCAGTGAACATTTTTATCCCTATATTACCCTAATTAAATTAAAAATAGTATGTTTATAGCACTAACAATGTAATAAATTCCATGTAATGACCCCACTTTTGGAAAGGAACAGGCCCTTTTCAATTTATATCCAATTACTTCTGCAAAATCCACTGATGGACCTGGGTCTATGTCAGGGATCTCCAAACGTTCGAAACAAAGGACCAGTTTACTGCCCTTCAAACTTTAGGGAGGCTGAACTGTGGCCAGTGGAAGTAGAAAATTCCCTAGCATTGGTGGGACTAAACAATCCCATAGGCTACATCCATGGTATTAGTTGAAGGAATAGTGTCCCATCATTGGTGTCAGAGGAAAGAATAGTGCCTCATCATTTGTTTCATTAGTTCCCCATCTGTGGTATCAAGAAGAGGAATAGTACCCAATTGCTAGTGTCAGTGGGAGGAATAGTGCCCAGTCTTTGGTGTCAGTAGAAAGAATAGTGCCCTGAGGGCTGGATAAAGGCAAGCAAAGGGCCACATCTAGTCCACGGGCTGCAGTTTGGAGACAACTGGTCTATGTAAAAAAGAATGAGAACTTATTTAAATGGAAAGTTTAATTGGGCTTGTTCGTAATTAGTATGTAAACACAGAATATGATCCAGTAATATACACATTCCAATATTATTATGTTCCACAGCAAGATGTGTTTCATCTCTATCAGCAAAGAATGTGAGGAGACAAACTTTATTCTTTGCTCACAATGACTAAGATTAACGTAAAAACATTTTTAACTGTCACTTGTTAAATTTTTAAGTGTGGATTCCCATTCAGGATTTTCAGACTGAGTTCACAATGGCCTTAAAAACCTCGAAAGACCTGAAAAGCCCAATGCATTGATCTGGCATTCAGCCCGCTCGTCAAACATTCAAACAATGGAACAAGGATGGGTAGAAAGCCAGCAAGCAAGAGGGATGTTGCTAAAATTACAACAGGAAATGTATTTGCCTTTTAAATTAATATATTTTCATTTCCGGGACATTATAATGGTACCAGGCGTCTGAAACACCCATTTATAACTGTAAGCAAACAAATGATATTGCAAGTTAAATAAATGAGCAATGTACATTTACCTAATTCCTGAATGTGAAGCTGTCTACAGATGGCTCACATTTTGTCTGATTCCTGATTAATTGGTTGAAAATTGAGCTGTGAGTAGCCTTGTTGGCAATACCCATCTTAGCAAACTTTGATTTGAAATCCTACAGTCAGAAGCCAATCAGATGCAGTCACGGGAGCAGCAGCTAACAGAACACAATAGCCAGCAGTGGAGATGGAAGAACAGCATTGATGGAGGAAATGGGTGATTTCTCCTGTTCAGTCGCTGGGCCAAATGAGAGAAATCTGTGTGTGTATGGCTCGCCTACCTGCATTTTCCATTACCAGATATCAAACTCATAAAAATCTATGAAAAGATCTCTGACATATGGGGAAAATGAAAAGATATGAAGGAGGTTGAAACTTAGGCTTTTCAGGGCCTCTTAGCATGCTCACTCCAGACCCAGCTCTGTGTGTCCATAGACACAGAGTGTGGTTTGGCCACTGTGACGGGAGCAACTTTTGGGGGTGGGGGGACCCCTGTATCATCTCCCCAAATCATTATGTTTAACCCACCCTGTGCCTGTTTAAGGGTACAGGGTGTACATGTGAATGTACCAGTATTGTGCATTTGTGTGTTGTCCTTTGTCTAGGCCACATGGCTGTCCATTGTTTGTTTGCCATGTGCTCCCCCCCATGGTGCTGTGCCTTCCTGTCCAGCAAACTATTATGTGATGTACTGTTTGTGTATTGGTGTGGGGGTTGGTCAATGTCCTTTGCCACATGGCTGCATCCCATTGTTCTGTGTCTTGGGTTGGTTGGGGTGGTTCCCTATAGCCCTTCCCACTGATAGGGCGGGCTGATGATGATGTATTTCCTGTTCCTGGTTGTGTTTCCCCGCCCTCTGTATATATTCTGTGTGTTGTGTTAAAATAAAGAGTTGGCTTTCTGTTTTAAGAGCTGGGTGCTGTCTTTTTCCTGAGGGATTTTAAGGGTGTGGTCCGTGGATGGTGTTCGGACAGGGGACTGCGGTCGGGTACCGGTTCCG